AGGGTATCTTGTTGGGATGGTTCTCGTAGCTCTGGTCTCAGTGCTTCAGCAATGGGAGAATAATGCATAGACAGGCTACTGAGAACGTGTTGAGCGTGGAATATTTATTGTTTATATCAGGTCTCTGCAACTGGGCTATGAGCCAGGATCACTTTTACCACGAAGCCCCAGGAGGACTGTAGCAGGAGATTCTAAGTCGAATGACTCACCCCTTGAGTGGCAAGTCTCTACCCATTCAGGGTTCAGTAGGCAAGCATTCCAAGGGGTAGCATTACATCAGTGCTGTGGCCAGATTAGCAAAGCCCTTACAAAAGAGGCCCAAAGTGGACTTCAGGAAAATCCCCAAAGCACATATGGCACCAGAAGAGAAAGAAAAGATAAATACAGAAATTTATGTAGCATTGCAACCCCCATAAACAAAGACACATAGACTTCCCCAGAAGCAAAGAGGGCCTCTATTGACTACAGAATGGCTAAACAAATTGCCACACATAAATATAATTGAATACTAGTATGCCCAAATGTATGTACAAATGTAACAGATTCAAAGAACTATGGAAATATTTGAATGAACCAATGCAATTAAGCATGCAGAATCAATAGAACAATATAGACCATGACTACAATAATGTAATTGAAAGGAAAACAGATGGTGAGTAATTGTGATGACCAATCCTGGCCACAGAAAATGAATGAGAAAATTTGTCTCCCCTCCTTTGGTAGAATTGGTGGAACAAGAGGGAGACAATATTGGATATATTATAAGAAATAGCCACTACGTTGGTTAATTTTGCTTAATTGTTTTTGAAAAGGGAGGGCCCATTAGATAGTGGGTGTGGGAAATGGGAAAAAAACCATAATTATTTATTATTGCTGTTTTAAAAAAAAGATAAATGAAGGGGATTCTCTATCCACATCTAACTCTGGATTTTGGGTTCAGGGTGGGAGTAGAGGGAAAAAGGAGGACAATCTTCATTTGGACCAATGTAAATGCAAACGGAGACTAATAAACACTCGGCCCTGAATACTGGGTTACTAAAAACACCCACTGAAATTCACATCTTTGGGGGCAGCTAGGTAGTACAGTGGATAGAGCACCGCTCTGCAATCAGGAGAAACTGAGTTCAAATCCAGCCTCAGACTAAACACTTGACACTTACTAGCTGTGTGACCCTGGGCAAATCACTAACCTCAATTGCCTAAAAAAACCCAAAACCACATCTTTTACTTGGCCCTTGGGAAAACTGGGCCCACTCAACCCAAGTTCAGTGGTTTACAATGAAGTCTGGGCAGTGTGATAAACCCAAGGATAAATGAAAAACGTAGAAACATTGCTACCCACTAAACCACCAACCAGAGAGGCTGGCCTCCATTTGCTCATACCTGTAAACCACCTGGATAAAGAATAGTTAGTTTATAAGTGTTTAACACCATCATTCAGAAATCTCAAAAGTGTGGTCACCTTAACCAAAGCCACATAACCAAAGGAAAGAGAAGATTTATTTAAAAAGCAACAATAATAAAAACCACTTAACAAAGGATCTTGACCCTATCATACTCTAGAAAAGTAAGACTTTAATGTTAAAAAATTCAACCCACAAGATTTTTTGAATGACATTGGAACTGCACATGCTGCAGAGGCCACTTTGGCCTCAGGACTTGGGGGATGTTACAAGAAGTCCTAAGAGAAAGTTGGTCTTAAGAGAAAATATGCTAAACGAGTGAACTACTGTAACTCAGTGGCCTTAGCTATTTCCAGCCTGGCCTTCATCCCAATGCTCATCTGTCAAGTCCACAAGCCACTTTTTGTCCTATGAGTCCACAAATGCACACACCATGCAGTCACAGGACTGATGATACCAGGGGTGATTTGGCATACACTTAGCACAAATGTACCCCTTTGCTAGGGTTTCCTATCATGCTTTTCCCTTTTTTGCCAGGAGACACAAAGCAACTCCATTTAATGCTTGAAATTTTCCTCCACACACAAAAAAGCAGAGTTCTGAGCAGAAATGGCTAAAAAAATTTAAGATGATGAATGAATGAATGAAAAAAGCATATTAAGTGCTTGATAACTGATAAGCATTGTGATAGGTATTGGAGACACAAATGCTGAAATAAGATGGATACTGCCCTCAAGGGGCTTAGCAAGATTAGATCCTGGGAAAATTACAATTTGGCTTCTTTTTCATGAACCTATGGGTTGTCAGACAACACAATGGTAGCCTCTAAGCTGGCCGTGGTTGATGTTAGCCTCAATGCTTGGAAGAGATATTTTCTAAGTTTCCAAATTGGCTATTTGGTGTAGTTGGAGGTGGAGTCAAGGGAATTGGGGTCAATTCTGGCTCTGCTACTGACTACTTGTGTGAATTTCAGTCCTTTAACTCTCTTGGACCTCAGTTTCTTCATCTGTAATATTAGGAGTTCAATGTGATGGTACATTCCAGCTCTAAATCCTTAGAGTGGGAGGGCTCTCCAGCTCAGAAAAGCAATGAAAACTTTGTGTAAGAGGTGCCATTTTGGATGGACCTTGAAAAATGGCTAGAGTTTTAGTAGCGGGAGATGGGATGAAGTAGGTTTGATTGAAAGTGCAGAGCAGATGAGAGGGAATGGTTTTGGTTGGGGCTGTCTGAAAGGATAATTTGTGGCCAGATTGCAGAAGGCCCTGAAGAGTATATTTTTTTTCCCAGTAGGAAATAAAAGAAATAAAAGATTTGGGTGTAGGGGAGTGACATAATCTGTGTCTGAGGAAGACATATGGTGGTACGATACAGGATTAATTTGAGGGGAAAGCACCTAGAGGCATTAACACCAGTTGTAATAGTTCACATGAAGAGTAACACGGAACTGGACTATGGTGATAGTTATGGGAACAAACAGGACAGGATGGCTATGAGACCTATTATAAAGGTAGGGTTCGACAGGACTTGGTAGAGATGGAATAGTCCTGATGTGGAGGGTAAGGGAGGAAGAGATCATTCTGAGGTTTTCCATTTAGGTGACTGGGAAAATAGCCGTGTGATTAACAACCACAAAAAGGGTTGGGCTAAGTGACTTCCCTACATTCACAAAACAAGTTAATGACAGAGCTAGGATTAGAACCCTGGCTCCCAGTCCAGGTCCTTGCTACTATACCATGCTGCCTCCTACGAAAGAAACATGACACTTCTGAGCACAAATACACACATGCATACGCCAGCCTCAGTTGGGCTTATTCTATATGATATTCTACCATAGTAAATCTGCGCAAAACTATTTTCTGGAACAAATTCACACATATTCTGGTAACTGGCATAATTTTATGGATTAGTGAAATGCTAAAAGCCAATCTCAGGAGAGATTTAAATAGAAAATTTTAACTTGAAGCCAAAAAAAAAAGGGGGGGGGAACAAATTAGGTGCTTATCAGTTGGGAAACGGGTGAAAAAATTGTGGTTTATGAATGCAACGGGATAGTCTTGTGCAATTAGAATTACAAATACGAAGAATTAAGAGACTTGTATGAACTAATGCAAAGTAAGAACCAAGAAAGACAACACTGCTCAGTGATGTGAATGAGCGAAAACACAAGACATCAGAACTCCTATCAATGCAGTGACCAATTCTGGCTCCAGAGGAATGATGAATGAAAGGGAGTCGTAGAGTATGGGCACCCAATGGTAGACATGGTCAAAGGTTCAGTTTGTTTTGCTTAATTGCACTTCTTTGTTACAAGGAAGGGAGGTGGTTAATAAGAGATGATAGCAATATAAAAAACAAAAGTATCAATGAAATTTTTTTTTGGAGGGGAGGAGAATCATACCTATGATTTCATTGGTATAGGGAGCTCCCAGTGAAGAATCCCCTCTACTAACACAGACCAGCAAGATCAGCTGTGGAAGTTAAAGTCTTAGATAGTTGCTTGGAGCACTGACAGATAACGTGACCCTTGTCTGGGATCACAGTCGGCATGTGTCAGAAGTCTTGCTAAGTCTGAGGTTGGCCCTCTAGTCAATATACTATGCTGCCTCTATGTTAACAAAGCATTAAAAAAAAAATACTGATTAGTAGAAGCTATCAGGTCCCAAAATTGTCACCTGGCCTTCACATAATCTCTGAAATTCCCTTTTCATTCTTTCATTCCCTATTTCTCCTGCAAACAGGCTTTCCTGGTGTCGCTAATCTAAGGTACTTGCTGGATGGTGCAGGAGAAAGGCAGAAGCACTCATGTGCTGTTCTTGAGGTAATCAGGATCTGACGTGTAAACACACTTACTTTGCTTTCTGGCCATTCTTACCCCACCCCCACTCCTGAAACTGAAACTCCCGGCCTACATACCTCACCAAACTCCACCTGGCTCTAGGAACCAACCTTTGGCTGGTTATATTTTATTACTCTGGATTACTTGACAAAGCCATTCTCTTAAAAACCATGTTGGGCTAACATTAACCCACTGATGATGTTTGGGTTGAATCTGATAACAGAGGGCTGTTGTACTGAATTAACTTCTGAGAAAATTTCTACTTTGCTGCCAAGTTTAACCTGCTCGACAGGTTGTGGCTAGCCTTGCTCCCCTACTTCCCTTCCAGGTTACTCACCGTGGCAAACTGCCTCCCTGTCCCCCTTACCCCAGCTCCTCTCCCATCTGCCCCCTCCTCCCTTCCCTTCCACATTAGCCACTGTGACCAGTCTTCTTCCCATGCCTCCCTCCTGCAGGTTACTCCGGGTGACCAGCTCTCTCCCCTGCTACTCTCTGTTGCTAAATAGTATGCGTCCATCTTATATTCTCGTGACACTTCCTATCCAGAAGTTTTTAAAATGACCAGCCACTGAAGTAATTTCCTGGGTTGCCAAAAAACTAACCAATCTGTGCTCTTCTTGGGAAAGAGTAAGGAAATCACTTTTAATTCTTTTAAATCCTGCTCTTTTAATACATTCGCCCGAGGCTCTGATTTTAAGTAACCCTTAGGTCTGCAGTTTTTCAGTAACAGGTTAGGGATTCCTCTGTGTCTCTAGCCTTACCTGTTGCAGCATCTCTTCAGCAGCATTGAGTTTCACCTGGTGCCCTTCCAGGCAGACTTCTAAGTCCCGGATCTTCTCACCCTGGACCTCCACTTGGTCAGTCAGGACACTCACCTAGAGGGGGGGACCAACAAAATCAGACTGTGAAATAATCAGTGCTAACCAGTTTTCACATCACTCACAACTTGGTGGTCCCACAATGATGTGGTCCCAGTAACTGGAACACTTAGAGTCTGCTAATGAAAAAGGGGAAAAGGTCTGCTTCTTACCTCACCAGAAGTGCTCTGACATCTCTTGGGAGAAGACTACTCATTTGACTTCTAAGTGAAGAGCCCAAGAAGAAATCAGACTCATTTGTAAAACGCCTCAGTAGAGAGACATATGTTCATATGAGGTCAATAATATTCCTCCTACGGAGTGGAAAGCAGAGCAGGTAAGACGGCACACAGCCGATATTTGCCCATGGCAAAAAGCATAGCCCTATTTGAGCTAGCTACCCAGCGAGCCTACCACTTGAAGGGAGAAGATGGGGGGGGAAAAAAACTCTGCTAGAAATAACCAATGACCTTCCACCTCTCATGAAGGGATAAGAATCACTAACCTATCAGACAAGCTTTTGGAAGCAATTAAAGAATGTGGATGTAAAGGGCATGTGTTAGCACCGACAACAGTTGGCTCCAGAAAGGTTTCCAGGGTCTACATGCCAAAACATGACTGTAAGAAACTGGCACCCAGGAGCGGCTTTGCATGATGGCAGCGAAAATCCAGTCACCTTTCTAAAGAACTTCAAAAAATCTACTAAAGATTTTAACTAATGGGAAGTGCTGGCAATCCATGAGCTGACTTATGCCAGAAAACAACCTTATGTAGCATGTAACCATCTCCATGGCACTCTCTACTAGCTCTGTCTTATAATAATTTTTGTTTAAGATATCTCAAAGAAATCCCATGCTGTCTGTCACCAAAAGGTTAAGCAACCTGTACTATGCCTCTGCAGTCTACATATGTGTCTACTGTCCCAACACATAGAAGACCACTGAGTTCAGACTCAATGCTACTTTTAAACAATTCTATGGTCTTGGATGTTAGAGAATGCTTTCTAAGACTTTCTTGGAGCTTCGGACGAGGAAACAATGCTTCAAAACCATTTTATTCTAAAAGAGGCTCCTTCTGTAAGCTACATTTACGTGAAACATACGTCTTTGAAAACGCTTGTCCAGTTTACTAAATATCCTTGCCAGATTCCTTTCTTCTAGGGTTGGAGCCATCAACTTTCAGATGACTGCTCAGGCTGCACACCAACCCGAGGATTCTGCACTGCTGACCCTGGCATCTGCCGGGTTTTTGAAGTTTGACCCCTCAAACAGGACCCAGAGAGGCAAGGACAGCTCTATGCCCCTTGCTAGCAGGAAGCAGTTTCAGAAGTCCAGACTTTCACCCCTTTCCCCAAAAGAATTTGGGTCAAATTTGTTTGAGGGGGGAATGATAGGGTGTGACTCAAGCCAAGGTCTTTGCCCCTTGCCCTAAAGGGAATCTGGTTCCCCTTGTCTACAGGCCCCAGCCCCTCATCTGCCTTGAAAGCCTTAGCCTACCTTTTAATCTCATTCAGATACCTTTCAGTTCCAATCTCTGGAAATTCTCACCTTGACCCTTTTCCCAGACCATTTTCCCAGACCCTTCCCTGGTCACCTAAAGTATATAAGATCTACCCTGGCCCTCATTCAGGGCTGAGAATCTCATGCTCAAAAGGCTGAGAACCTCTCATGCCCGCTCATCCTTACAGACATCACCTAGCCCTAAGTGTTTTATCACTAATAAACTTTTCCTCTGGATGAAGAAAAAAAAAAAGAAAACGCTTGTCCATACCATAAATCATAAATTATTGGTTTCGGTCTTTTCAACTCAGAACCTATCCAAAGTGCTTCCATCTCTGCGTGAGCAGCCAAAAAGTTCAAAGCTAAATATAGTACTCTAGTAACTCATCCCAGGTGTCTGTTAATACGCAGTTCTCTATTCTTTTTAACTGGTCATTATTCCATTTTAATTTTTAATTGTCTCTTTTACATGTGGTTTTTAAAAGTTACATCAATTGTGTTTTAAAAGTAGTACCCAACCCACAACCCTACCAAACAAAGAAACATTCACCAAAACAAAGAAAATGCACCCCCCTCATAGCATCATATTAAAAAAAAGTTTGGTACTTTAAAGAATACAAAACAATACACTGGCATCTTCTTTCAGGGTGTACTCTCTCTGGGTGCTATGTCTGTTAGAAAATACTTTACATGGTCCAATATATTTCCTTAATTAACATTACAGGCCATAGATTTAGAAATGGAAGGGATCTTAAAGGTCTAAAAGGCCTCCATTTTTACTAATAAAGACACTGAGGCCTAAACAGATCAAGTGACTTTCCCAAGGTCACACAGAGAGCAAATGGAAGAGGTGGAATTTATACTCAGCTCCCCGCTCCAAATCCAGTGTTTTTTCTACTTTCTATATGGTATGATACCTTGCTTTTACTTTACATGTTAGCTCCTTGAGCAATGCGACTATTTTTCATTCTTTATCTGTATCCCTAGTTCTACAACTTTAACCCACTATATATCTCATGATGTACACTCATTTCTCATCTCACGATGGGTCAGTAAAAGCCAGGGATTCTACCAGGCACACGTCAGTGGTAGTCCCATGATGACCACCATACCTTCAAGTCAAGGGGATGAAGCCCCATTTCCATCCAATTTGTGGGCATATTTGGAACAAAAGTAGGCCTTTTTTGTGTGGCAACTCCAGGCGTCTTTTCTTTCCAAGCAATATTTATCCATCTTTTAGACGAGATAACAAAATCTCTATTAACAATGAGATGAGCCTCTTCAGGGTGAATGGATTTTCTGGATAACTGAGGGGGTATGTAGAAATGATAAAGATGTGTATCTTTATCTGTCTATCTAGGGGAAACCTGTGAACTACATAGTTCAAGTATTATTACCTCGATTTTACAGAAGAGGAAACTAACTCAGAGAAGCTAGGTAATTTCCACAGGGTCACATAAGTACTGGAGCCAATTTCAAACTCATATCTCTCCTGACTCCATGTCCACTGTCCCAGAAATGCCTTTTTGTTGAAAAACTACTTCTGCTTTTCTGCCTTAGCTGGTACAGGGCAGGGACCATAACAACATATTTCCATTCTGCCTAAGGATCTTGTGGAGACCCAGAGTGCTTTGATTCTCACTGCCCAGGACCATGAGAGAAGAAACAGAATGTGCTGGAGAGACAGGGTTGAATTGGAACAAATATGTCCTTTGTTTTGGTCTCTGGCCTGAAGTTAACTCAGACAAATTTAATCCAAGAGATATTCATTAAGTGCCTATTACGTGTGGGCAAGGCACTGTGTGCCAGACTGGGCATAAGATGGTAAAAACTGACCCAATCTCTGCCTCCAAGGAGCTGAAATCTGATTAGAACAATCGGGCACGTACACAAACAATTATGAGACAAAGCACAATGTGACTGGAAAAAAAGGCGAGATGTAAAGTGCAGAGGGAAATCTGAGGAACAGAAGAGTCACTTCCACTTTGGAGTCTGAAGACAGACAGATCTGAGAAACCTCATGGAGGAGGTGGCAGCTGGACTGGAGTGGGAAGTCTGAGTCAGACAAGATGACAAGAGCTTGAGTTCTAGGACCTTACAGAAGGTCTGCTTAAATGCACCAACGAGAATATAGTAATAGTAGCAGCAGCACTACTAATGATAAACAGTAATAATGATGATGATAGCTAGCATTTATATAGTACCTACCATGTGCTAAGCACTTTACAAATATCTTGTTTGATCCTCACAACAACCCTGAGAAGCAGGTGATGTTATTATCTCTGTTTTGCAGTAGAGGAAACTGAGGCAAACAGAGGTTAAGTGACTTGCCCAAGGTCACACAGCTAGTCTAAGGCTGGATTTGAACTCAGGTCCTCGTAACTCCAGGCCCTACGCTCTATCTAGTGTACCACCCAGCTGCCTGATAGGGTACACAGGGCTACAGCTAGAAAATGGCAGCTGGACATACAGGGGAGTGATGTGTAATGAATCTACAAGGCTAGGCCAGATCCAGTCTGGGGAATTTTAAGAGCCATTAGAGTAGTTTACATGTGCGGTCAGGGGTAGGTGATACTACCCACAGAACTACAGGTTGGGAGGGACAGTTTTGAGTAGATAATGATGGATTAAATTTTGCTGATTTTGAGTGTAAGGTGTTGTAAGGATAGCCATAAGGAATCATCCAAAAGTGAACTGGAAATACAGAATTGAGGCATACACAAAGAAGAGACTGGACCTGGCAAAATAGGTTTAGAAATTATCTTACACTATACTGTAAGTTTTCAGTAGCACGTAAGCTCCTTGAAGGCAGAAGCTATTTGGGATTTTGTATTTGTAACCCTAGCACATGGCATGGTGCCTTGCACACATTAGACAAATGATAAACGTTTGTTAAATTTAATTAAATTGAATCTGTCTAGAAGCGACCATTGAGGCCAGGAACAGAGTCTTGGCAGGGATGGAGTGGGAGTGGGGGAGCAAGAGCACATCTATCTCTACTTTAGGAAAGAGGCAAAAAGATGAACCAGAAAAGGATATTGAGAAGGACAAGTAAGATAGGCAGGAGAACTGTGACCCTTGTCTGTCATTTAAGCTCTTCCAGACTCAGTTTCCTTGGCTGTAAAATGAGGAGAATAGTAACACCAGGTCATCGTAAGGATTGAATGAGATAACATGCCAAGACCCATAGAAAGCCCTTTGCAAACCTTGAAACACTGTCTGGAGGCTAGATATTATCAGAGAGAACAGCTTTAATAAAGTGGTAGGGTTGGGAGCCAGAACAGAAGAGGTTGTGGGTGGCAAGGAAGCAGAGATAAAGAGTAAAGACTGACCCTTCTAGATACTGAAGAGTGGGGACGGAGTGTAGAATTGGTGGCTTCAAGAGCAAGTCGCTAAGTGCTGCTGTGGGAAGCGTGATGGGAGTCAATCAGGGAGGAACATAAGGACTGCAGTACATGAGTGAAGGCCTAGCTTAGGTTCACTGACGAAGCAGAGCAGCAAAGTGGCAGAGTGGACAAGGTTGGAATTAGAGTCTGGAGGACTCCTCCGCTGGCCCTTCCTAGCTGTCTGACCATGGCCAAAGCCTCAATTTCCTCAGCTACAAAACACAACTAATAATATTTGCACACTCGACCTTGGAACCCAGCATGGTCTAACGCATTAAATATATTGGTCTTGAAATGAGAGGATGTCTATAAAGTGCTTATAACACTTTAAAGTGCTATTTCAACACCAGTTTTTGTTATTATTATTGTCATCATCATTATTACAGATTTGCAGTGGACTCAGTTATGACTTTCTCTACTGGGTGCTGCCTCTCTGGAGCAGGAAAGGAGAAGGCACCTATGCCCTCAGCTGGGAATCAAAAGGGTGAAAAAGGCCAGAGGAGAAGCGGGTAGGGGATTCATAGGTTGCAGCAATGCAACAATAGGGTCAAAGGAATGAAGGGGAAGCAGTGAAGTCCAAACAGAGCTGATAACCTGAGAGACCAGGGAGGGGTGGAGGGACTGGGGCAACGAGGGCGAAGAGCAGGTTCAGCAAAGGCAGGAGATTGTGATCAGAGAGGGAAGTTTCAGGTGATGGTGAAGCTGAAGGTGTGACCATCTCTGTGGGGAGCTGAGACAGAGTGGAGACTGATCTAGGTCACGGGAGCCAAGCAGGTTGAGCAGGTAGGAGGCCCAGGGCAGTGAATGTGGGGTGGTAGAAAAAGGGCTAGACTTGGTGCCAGAGGGCCTGGGTTCAAATTCTGCCTTAGTCATTTACTACCTGAATGTCCTTGGGCACATTGCACAGCCTCTGTTGGTCTCAGGTTTCTCATTTAGTACATGAGAAGATTGGACAAGACGACCTCTAAGACCTTCTCTAGATCTCTGATCTTAGAGCCTTGGATTTGAATCCTGGCTCTCTTACTATGGGTAAATCACAACTTCTCTGGGCCTCAGTTTACTTCTCTGTATAAATGGGGGGGAGAAGAGAGGAGAGAAGAAGATGAACTTGAGCTAAGTGGCATGGCAGATAGAACATGAGATTTGGTTTAAAGACCCTTACTAGCTGTGTGACCCTGGGCAAGTCACTTGACCAATCTTGGCCTCAGTTTCCTCATCTGTAAAAAATGAGAATAACAGCACCTACCTTACACGGTTGTTGTGAGGGTCAAATGAGTTAACATATGGATAGTACTTTACCCTTAAAGCCCTATAAAATGCTGCCATCGTCATCCTCATTGGCGAGGGCTGAATGGGATGCCAGTTTTTTCCACCTGAAAGTCTTATCAACTTAGGACAGGGGGTGGGGTGAATAGAAAGGCTCTGAGGCAAGTGCTACAGTCATGTAAAGGAAGTGGGAGGTCCATGGACAGCGGCACCAAAGGAAAGGCAGGTGAGGCCAAGAAAGAGTCTGGAGCTAGCAGAAGGCAGGAGGATTGCATCTCCTCCTCCTAACCCTCTGACATGGGCGAGGAGGCGGAAGACGAGGATGGGTCTAGCAGCCAGCCTTGGAGAGAGTGGCAACAGAAATGGGGCCCTCACCAACCCCAAAAGCCCGATTTCAGTTAGGCCCAGGAAACAGAAGGAATGGAAGAGATCAGGAACTTAGTAACATGACAATGGGGATCCTTGGGGGCATGGTGGAAACGGGCTGGGGAAGAAGAGGGACTGGGGAGGGCCACAGTGGAGTTAGTGGGAATGGAGCAAACAGCAAGAGCTATCAGCTTGTTAGGTTGTATTTTTCGCATTCCACCTACGAATGAAGACAAGAAAATGTTCTGGTAAACTGAGGCTTCCCCACAGTAGATTCTGGTTTCATTATTCATGGTGCGTTAAGAGTGGAGAATTTTAAAGTGATTGTTGATAAATCAAAATAAATTAATTCTGAGAAAAAGAATGGAGAATTTTAAAGAAATGCATGAGAGCAGAGAGAGAGAGAGGAAAGAGAAGAAAAAAGAGAGGGAGGAAAGAGAGAGGGAAAGGGAGGGGATAAAAAGAGAGGAGGAAACAGAGATAAAGTAAGGCAGAGAGAGTGAAACAGAGACAGAGAAAGAGAGAGGGAGGGAGAGATGGAGAAAGGAAAGGAGACAAAGAGATGGCCCTTTTCTCCAAATACTATTAGGCATCATGTCAGCTACCAGGACCAAGTCCTGCTGCAGATGTCTGCAATTACTGTAATTATAGCTGCAAAGCTCTCAGGCCAGATGAACAGCACGCACAGCACTTAGCACACAGTATGGAGGAGAGCCTTCGCTCAGAAGAGAACCAAGTGTGGACGGAAGAAAGACCAGGGAGGTTCTTTTTCCACAGAATAGTCACCATTGCATGGTCATTAAATAAATCTGGATCAGGAGAACAGAAGGTAAAAGACTTTGAGGAAGGTGAGCTGCTTTGCCAGGGCTGTTGTTTTAAAAAACTAAACTAAACTAAACTAAACTAAAGAGAAAAACCCCTCTGGACTCTATTTTTTTTTAGCCCCACATGTAATGAAACCTGAGCTTTTTGAATTCGCTGACACTTCAGAGAGCTTTATAGACTGAAGATACTATATGCCACGTGTACTCTCTGTCACTCGGGAGGGGATCTGATTACTCCTGCTTCCTGGTCTCCACCAGGTCTGTGGAAGAGAATGTGGGTGCCAGGCATTCAAAATCCAGCAGGGCTTGTCTGTGCTGCACATCACAGTTACAATCTGTTTTATTTGTGAACATTTCTTTAACACACTCTCTCTCTCTCTCCTCTGAAGGCCCCAAGGAAAGGGTCAGTGTGGTCTATCACAAACAATGCTAGACCTAAAAAGTCAAGACAGACCTGGTTTCCAATCCCATCACTGATGTTTGCACGCATTAGGACTGCAGGAAAGTCTCCGAATCTGTTTCCTTATCTGTAAAATGGGTATAAGAGTACTTGCAATATTTGCCTCATAGCATGGTGGGTAGAAAACAACTTTGTATAAAGCAATCTATGCAAGTTGCTGTTAACGTTCTTCTTAATCTCTCTGAGTGCCCCGAATGCCAGCAACACAGGGTTACACCTGCAATGGGAGAGCAGGACAAAGGATAACAGTGTGGGAAGGACATACCTGTAACATAAGAGATTCCTTGTCACCTTCCAATCTGGCCAAGCGCTCCTGGTAGGTTTCATTCGTAACTGCAGCTGGGTGGTTTACCTGTGACTGAAGAAAAAAAAACCTATTAAAAGACTAGAGAAAAAAATCGATTTCCCAATTAACTAAGTGATTTGTGATGAATTATCAGTCAGAAGATGTGAGAAACCACCCAGAGAAAAAGGAAACCACAAGATTTCGAAATTCTTCACAATAGTGGTGAACAGACAAGATGCCACTCAAAGGTGTGTGTTAAGAGCCTTGCCAAAAAAAAAAAAGCACCTTGCCAAACCATCCAGCATGACCTCATCCCAGCCCTTTCGAACTCCTCTGAGAGGGAAAGGCAGCTCTGAATGAACCTGACATGTTGAGTCTGGTTTGCCCCTGGGCGCCATCCTCAAGGCCGCCCACGGCAGGAAGAAGGGCCTTCTTTCTTCCAGAAGCCAAACACAATAGGAGACCACTGGACAATGACCTTTCTGTAATTACAGGCCTGCTTCCATGCCCAGCACCACAGTTCTCCATTGTGGGCAGCTTGAATCTAGACTTGAATAGGCTTGTCTATGGCTGGGCCAGAGCAGAGGGAGGGATGTGGGCAGGAGCCATCAGGCTATAACGCCTACTTCCCTGAGTCAGCACCTTGACCTTGGAGGGTGTGTTTCCTACAGAACAACAATTCTTACGTGAGGGAGGGGACTGAGCTGGAACTAGTCCCAGTGTCACACTCCAAAGTAGAGTGGTTGGTCCACCAGTGACCCCACAGTCACGATTGCTCATGTGAGTGTAGGATCTTGGCGGTGCAGTGCATAGAGGAAAACTTGCATAGGAAAATTGCCTCAGATGCTTGCTATAGTTGTTTGACCCTGGGCAAGCCACTTACCCTCTCTCAGCTTTGGCTACTCATCTGTAAAATTGGTACAATAGTACCCACTTAACAGGGCTGTTGTGAGGATCAAACAATATAAAATATGTAGAGCACTTTGCAAATCCTTAAACAGCATTACATAAATGGTAGCTATGATTATTATTGTGAGGGTTATGATTATTGGTTAGAGAAGCATTAGAAGACTTACATGAATAGATGCAAAGTGAAATAAGAACCAGGAAAACAATACACACAATGCTATAACAAGATAAATGAAAAAAAAGAAAAAAAAGCAACAAATCAAAACTGAATCCTGCAAAATTCTAATGACCAAGCTTGTCCCCAAAGAAGAGATATGAAAAGTCCCACTCTCCCTTCATTGCAGGGCTAGGGGAAAATGAGTATGGAACACTGTCAGACCTTTCTGTTGGTTACTTTTACTGAACATTTTCTGTTTCTTTTTTAGCCTTTATATAAGGGATGGCTCTCTGGGAAAAGGAGTGGAATACAGTGGAGAAAGAAAAGAAAAAAAATTCCAATAAATACTTATTTCTAAAAATTATGACTCGGCAATTGTTAGGGATTGATTCCCTGTCCCAAAAACTTGTTCATGGGACTTTCCTCAAGAGGCACAATCCTGTAAGTCAGGGAATGGAACTGAAGAGAGCCTTAATGAGAGATCTATGGAAGTGGGAGGGATTCCACAGGACCCCTAAACTGTACTATTATTTTGACGTTTGGTAGGCCCTACAATTGGTAGGCAAACTAATTGTTGTTTGCTTATTTTCTGTGTTATAGAGTTCTAAACCATCAGAGCTATCAGGAGCAACAGAAAAAAATAAGATCCAGCACTCTACGCTGGATGAAGCTGCCCCTTCTAATTCGATCTAATTCGATCTAATTCGATCCTCACAACAACCCTACTGAGGCAGGTACTACGCATGTGATAACAATAATTATAGCTATTGGGGGCAGCTAGGTGGAACAGTGGATAGAGCACTGGCCCTAGAGTCAGGAGAATCTGAGTTCAAATTTAGCCTCAACACTTATTAGCTATGGGACCCTGGACAAGTCACTTAACTCCAATTGCCTCAAAAAAAAATAGGTAGCAATTGTATAGCAAGTTATGATCGGCAAACATTTTACATATGTTAACTCATTTGATCCTCACAACAATCCTGAAAGGGAGGTACTATTATGATGCCCATTTTGCAGACTAGAAAATAGAGGCACATAGAGATTAAATGACCTGCTCAAGGCCATACAGATAGTATGTATCTGAATCAGTATTTGAACTCAGATCTACCTGATTCTAAGTCCTACATTCTCTCCACTGCACCACAGAATGGCCTCATAATAATGGATAACATTATTATTAGTCTTACAATTTACAGACAAGGAAAACTAGAACCTTGAGAAACTAAATGACCCCTAAGGTCACTTGGCTAATAAATCCTGATCCCAGTAGGAAAGTGATTGACATAGAATCCCAAAGTGATTTAACAGCAGAGCCTAGACATAAACCCTGATTTCCAGTCTTCTAAGGCAGTGTTCGGTTCACAATAGCCCCACATGACCTATCTGTCCTCCGTAACAAATTTGGACATAGTGGGTACCTTTTTTTTTTTAATGTGAGAAAACCATGTTTTGCATGACTGCACATGTATAATCTATATCAAATTGCTTGCCTTCTCAAGGGAGGAAGGGAATTTGTAACTCGAAATTTAAAAAAAAAAGCCAATGTTAAAACTTTTTGTTCATATGTAATAGAGAAAAAAAAGGGGGGGAGGAAGAACTGAAATGAATTTAGACTTTAAATCAGTAAATATCCTTGTTCTGCCTTTTAACTGATTTGAACTAGAGTAATTTCAGACCACATTATTTCCATAACCTGAAAAAGGAAACTTGAATTACTGTTCTTAGTAATGAGTTTATTAGACAGTTCAGCTGCTGAGGAATTACCCATCCCTGCCTATGGAAGGGCGGAAGTTCTAGGGGCACAATTGAAATACGGCAGTCAAGAGGGATGGGCAAATTCTGAACTTGGTAACTTTTTCCTAACATTGCAATTAACAAATACAGGAACCAAAAAAAAAAATACACGCGCAAGTGTCATTCATACTCTCTGCCACAGAGAAGACATAAATTATGAAGGAGGGAAGAGCTTTGAGGTCAAATCAGAACATTCTACAAGTCCTACCACTGTTGAACATTCCATTATGGAGAACTGTTACTAGCTGTGTGACCCTGAGCAAGACGCTGAAAGTCTGCATCTGCTTTCCTAAACTGGGGGGCAGGGGGTGGGCATAATAGCACCAAACTCTCAGAGTAGTTGTGCAGATCAAATGAGACATTTGTAAAATACTTACAGTGCCAGGCACATGGTAGGTCCATCTATCCATCGATCCTTCCTTCCAAATGTTCATAGACTCTCTGAATCAGAAGGGACCTTAAATGCTATCTGACCTGCACCTGTTGAAGAATCCTCTTTACCAGTGGTTCTCAAACTTTTTGGTCTTATGACTCCTTTACATTCTTTTCTGAGTACCATGGTTTAAAAAAAGATATCAGTAAGCTGAACAGTTTACAGTTTCGGACAACGGAGGGCCTTGGACTCCTGCCATATGAGGGTCATTGGAAGAAATTGGGCAAGAGACTACTCTGGGGGGCACATGATGGCTGCCTTCAAATATTGACAGAGCTGTCATGTAGAGGATGGATTCTATTTGTTCATTTTCCCACCAGCTACATTTCTTGGACTGGATTCCCCCATGATTGTGCTCCCAGGAAACCTCTTCACCAGCAAACTCATCACCCTGAGACATTGCATCAGCAATGAACCAGGAGTAGTAGGTAGAAGTTGCAAAGAGGCACATTTAGGTTTGATGTCAGAAAAAACCTAACAATTAGAGCTATGTAAAAGTGGAAGGAAAGTCTTGGGAGGGGCTGGGCACGTCCCTTCTTGATAGCTGGGTGGCACAGTGGATAGAGCACCACACTTGGGGGTCAGGAAGGCTTGAGTCTGAATTCTGCCTCAGATCCTTGGGTGACCCTGGGCAAATTACTCAATTTCTATGTGCTCACAACAAAGAAGGTGCCATGCCCTGTGGGCAAAGCAGAATCACAGCAGCACAATGGAAATGCGAGATGCTCAAATCCAAAGAGATCTCCAAACCGAATGGTCAAAGGGGCTATCTGTGCCCCACCAGTGGCAGAGCATTCCAAGCTTGTACTGGACTGATCAGCCACAGCTGAACACACTGTACCTTGACCCCAACATCATGGCGGCACTGGTCCTATTCAAGCAAGATGCACAAACAACAGTGGCAGCAGCCTCAGCTTCCTTATTTTTGAAGTGGGGATAATAATGGTACCTACCTAGCAGGGTTGTTATAAGAGTCAAACAAGGTAAGACATCTAAAAGGTTTTGCAAACCTCAAGCTTCTACTTAAATGCTATCATGATCATTATCTTTCAGCAGAGTCTAGATGATTATTTGTTGGCTACGTCATAGTAGGGATTCCTCTCCTGTGTGGGTAGGACACGGAGGCTCTTAATTCTCCAATTCTGAGATTCTGTGATTACCCCAGGGTGATCTAAGGCTGGTAAGTGATCTTCTCAGGTCCCTCATCACTCTGCCCCTGGTCTAGAAGCTTTGGTGATGTCATCTTTGGGTTAAATGCTTCAGTTTACATGGTGACTGGGGGCCAACCAGAACCCTGACCTCGTAAGAAGAACACAAGGATACTGATCCCCAGGTGTCTCTAGAAAATTAACTAGGTGGAATGAAGGTGGGGTCATCTGAGGCCACTCCCCCAGAAATTCCATGGGTATTCCTGTACTCCCAGGCTTCAGACTCTAATTTCAACTCTAAGCAAGTGGAAAGGCTGATGTACCATGTAGCCTCGAATAGCACAACAAGGCCTCAAATTCTTCAGTGACCGTGTAATGGATTAAAATGCTGCTTTAATAAGAAAACAGTAGGATAATCTATCTTTGGTGCTGGAATGGTTTATCCAAGAGCTTTCTGTTTGGCAAAGGTGCTGAGCAGACGGAGGAATGGAATCAACTTCTGTCTACTGTTGTCTCAGCTCTTTCTGAAGAGGCCAGCGGGAAGGGGGGAGGGGACAGCTTGCAGTTGCCTGTGTTTATGGTCAGCCTGGGAGTCAGATTACAAATGACAAGAGTTGAAATCTCTGCACACAGCCCTCCCTCAGCATCTCAGCTGGTGCTAAAGACTTGTTGTTCTGACATCCTGGGCTATGAAATTTCCATAAAGACTGATCAAAAAGGCTTTGTGCATGTGGCTGCCTAGGGGCTCTGACAACTGGATGTCTTCAGGAGGTATGTGAAGGAGCCAAAAAAATATCAGCACCGAACACATTCAGGCTCATATTTTTATAGGAAGTCCTTTCCCCTCAACTACGTTAATGTGGAAGAATTATACTTTTACTCAATAAACAGATTTCTGTCATGCGCAGTGCCCAGGGTGGGCTGGGTGTGGATCAAGGATGAGATATATCTTTGTTCTCACAGAGGCTATAAGGAAGGAAATATGCATTTATTAAGCACCTACTATATGTCAGGCACCATGCTAAGCACTTTACAAATGTTATTTTGTCCACCCAACACTTGGAGATGGCTGTTATTATTATCCCCATCTTGTAGTTGAGGAAACTGAGGCAGATGGCAGTTAAGTGACTTACCATTGTCAATAGCTAGTAATTGTTTGGATTTGACCCCAGGCCCTCCTGACTCTAGGCTGGGCACTCTATCCACCTTGTAATCTCACTGCCCCTGCTTTTAAGATCATAGGATCTTGGGGGTAGCTAGGTGGCACAGTGGATAGAGCACCAGCCCTGGAGTCAGGAGGACCTGAGTTCAAACCCGGCTTCAGACACTTGACACTTACTAGCTGTGTGACCCTGGGCAAGTCACTTAACCCCAACTTCCTCAAAAAAAAATCACAGAATCTTAGATACAGAGAAGAAAGGACCTAAGAGTGCAACCATTTTGTTCTAGAGATAAGGAAACTATCAGGAATCAGGAAAGTTAAGTGACTTACTAGTCCAAGGTCACACAGATATTTCCAGGCAGAATTAGGGTTCAAACCAGGTTCCCTGCTTCCAAAGCCAGTGTTCTATCCATTGGAAAACCCTGCACCTCCTGGATGGACATATTAAAAAAATAACTCCAATGCCAGGCAGTCTACAAGGAGTGCCAAAGATCTGCTGAAAACTGCATGTGCTATGAAGTCATTGGACCAAGGGTTTGCTGCGGGTTAAGGTAGTTAAGGAAAGCTTCCTGGAAAGGGAGAGAGCGGAGGGAGAAAGCAGTAAACACAGGATTTTAACAGCGGAGAGAGTATTGTAAGCTAAGTTGGGGGGAGGACGAGAGGAGGGAGGAATATTGTGAACAAAAGCAGAAAGAGAGGAGCAAGTCTGTAAACAGCTTGGATGCAGCTCAGAGGGATGATTTAGGGCAAGAGAACGATTTTTAAAAAATAGCATTTTGACCATGCGTGCATTTGGTAAGATCTATATTTTGTGTTTCATTTTAAAAGATGTTCTTCAACTACCCTGCTACACAGCCTCGGACAAATCTTTCCCTCTCTGGGTCCCAGTACTCACTCTCTCTCTCTCTCTCTCTCTCAAATGGACAACAGCATAAGGATCAGAGAGCTAGAACTGGAAGTCTCCCTTCATTTTGCAAATGAGGAAATTGAGGCCCAGGGAAGTTAAGGAGATTACCAGTGGTCACACAGGTAGAGGTAGGATTTGAACCCAGGTTCTCTGACTTGAAAGCCAATGCTCTTTGCACACTATTTCCCTTTCTCTAAGGTCCTCACTAGCTCTATTCGTAGCCTATGAATATTACCTG